TTTCTAAATTACATGTTCATCACATTCTCCTGTTTCCCTTTTTATATAGTTTTATTGTATTTATGTATATCTTTTAAAAGTATGTATATTTGAGTTTTAAATTTTTTAGTTTGTATATAAGCTGTTATAGATGATTTTTCTGGACTTTTTGTATGTTAATCTTATATCTAGATACTTGTGATATTATAAAATATATATTTGGTCTTTGTCTAGTTTCCTGGCATATCTCTTAAATCGGAAATGCCTTTCTGTATGCTAATGAGATGACTGGTGAATGGAGGGACTCCTAGATAGCCTCAGGATGGGGGCTGGTTGTCAGGGGAACCAACTACATAATTACAGGACTGGAGCTTAGAATCTCCCCAACCCTCCACCTCCAGGAAGAGGAAGGATTTGAAAGTTGAGCTGATTAACTTATTGATGTGATCAGTGTGCCTAAATGATGAAACTTTCGTTAAAAAAATCCATGAACAATGGGGTAAGCAAGCATCCAGATTATCAAACATGTGCTTGGAGGGTACTGTGCCTATAAGAGGGTAGGGAAACTCTGTATCCCTTCCCATATTCCTTGACCTATGTGTCTCTTCCGTCTGGCTTCACATCGATATCCTTTGTAATATCCTTTGTAATAAATGGGTAAATGTAAGCAAAATGTTTCTCTGAGTTCTGTGAGCTGCTCTAGTAAATTAATCAAACCTCAGGAGGGGGTCATGGGAGCTCTGATTTATTGTTGATTAGTCAGACTTGCAATTGGCATCTGAAGTGGGGACAATCTTGTGGGACTGAGCCCTTAACCCATGGCATCTAACACTACCTTCAGGTAGATATTGTCAGAATCAATTGAATATTGGACACCCAGCTAGTACTTACTGCCAAATTGCTTGGTGTGTGAGGGGAAAACAACCTGTATATATAGTAATAAAAGTGTTTTCTGTTGTGAGACCATAGTAGCAGAAAAACTTGTTTTTCTTTAATACTTGACTAAAATCTCCTTTTTTAATTTTTTTCCTACTGACCATTTAAAAATTTTTTTTAATTTTAAAGATGTGGGGTACAAGTTAGGGTTAGGTATTCAAATAGTCATTGTACAGGTAAAGTTTGGGCTTCAGTTAGGTCTCCCCTTTACCTGGTTTGAGATGAGGCACCCTTACTGATGAAGTGTGCCCCCTCCTTACCCTGGCAGTTTCTCACTATTGCCTTCTTTTATTTTTAATAATTTGTCTGCAGAATCTTTTGTGATTTCTGTGTAAATGATCACATCATCAGTTAATAATGACAGTTTAACTTCCTCCTTTGCAATCTTAATGGTGCTAATTTTTTAAGATTTTATTTTACTTGTTATGATCTCTTACACAGAGTTTCACATTTATAAATTTTCTAAAATTAACCATCCTTGAATATCGGGGGCAAACTCAATCTGGTCATGGAGTAATGTTTTGATTTGTGTGTGTTTATGTGCAGTGGCACAATTATAACTCATTGCAGCCTTGAACTCCTGGGCTTAAGTGATCCTCCCACCTCAGCCTCCTTAGTAGCTGGGACTACAGTGCATGCTACCATGCCTGGCTAATATATATATATTTTTTCAGTTGGAGTCTCACTCCGTCACCCAGACTGGAGTGGAGTGGCATGCTCAAGGCCACCCCAGTGTCGACCTGCTGGGCTCCGGTGATCCTTCTGCCTTAGTCTTCCAAGTAGCTGGAACTACGGGCGTGCGCTACCACGCCCAGCTAATTTTTGATTTATTGTAGAGACGAAGTCTTGCCAAGTTGCCAGGGCTGGTCTGGAACCCACAAGCTCAGGCAATCCACTTGCTTCAGCCTCCCAAAGTCTGGGATTACTGACTGAGCACTGAGCCCAGCAGTTTTTATTTTTTTTAGAGACAGTATCTCACTATGTTGCTTAGGCTTGTCTGGAACTACTGGGCTTCAGCGATCCTCTGGTCTCAGTCTCCCAAAGTGCTGGAATTACAGATGTGAGCCACTGTGCCCAGCCTTGACTAATATTTGCTCATCTTTGTACCAGTACCTTACTCTTGTAGGCTATTTTATTTAGGAAGTGTGTATCTACAGTCATAAGTAAAATGGACCTGGAATGTTTCCTTTATGTAGCATCTTTGTCTGGTTTTGTCTTCAATATTACTCTGTCTGGGAGTTTTTATTTATTTTTCTATTGTCTGGAAGTTATTGCCTGGTAGATGATTGCCCTTGAAAGTTTGGTAGAACTTTTTTTTTGGTTTTTTGTTTTTTGAGTTGGAGTCTCTTTCTGTTGCAGTGGCACACTCACTGCCACCCCAGCATCAACCTTTTGGGCTCTGGCAATCCTTCTGCCTCAGCCTTCCTAGTAGCCAGAACTACAGGTGTGTGCTACCATGCCTGGCTAATTTGTTTTATTTTGTTTTATTGTAGAGATGTGTTCTTATCAAGTTGCCCTGGCTGGTCTGGAACCCGCGGGCTCAGGCTGTCCACTCACCTCAGTCTCCCAAAGTACTGGGATTACAGGCTGAGCCACCGAGCCCGGCCTGAATTCGTTTTTTAAACCATCTGGAACTGGTATTTTTGTGTGTGTGTGAAAATATTTTATATGTATATATGTATGTATGTATGTACGTTGGAGTCTCACTCTGTCCCCAGGCTGGAATTGCGTGGCATGCTCACAGCTACTGCACAACCTCGACTTGGTGGACTCAGGCAATCTTTCCACCTCAGGCTTCCAAGTAAGCTGGAACTATAAACATGTGCCACCGTGCCTGGCTGATTCTTTGGTTTGTTGTAGAGATGAGGTCTTGCCAAGTTGTCCAGGCTGGTCTCAAACCTATGGGCCCAGGCAATCCTCTTTCCTCTTCCTTCCCAGAGTGCTGGGATTCCATGCGTGAACCATTGAGCCTGGATGAGAAGATTTTAATCATACTTTTTTATTTTGCAAAGATAACTTGCTGCAACATCAAGGTTAAATTATAGGAGAAAGAAGAAAAGATAGGGATAGAAAAGAAAACAGCTGTCTTTCATACAGTGTATAATGGAGCTTGTATCCATTATCTTAGTTAATCCTCAAAACACCCTTTCAGAGGATCTGTCAGTCAAAATCCTGTCACAGGAGGAAAAGTTGCACTTGGTATTATAAAGAGGACATTCATTAGTGAGAACTGCATACTTGAGTGCAGAAGAATAAAAAAGGGGGATGCAGAGGTAACCCAAAGTTAATAACTAGAGGAAGCAGCTATTACCCCTAAGGCTGAGAGAACAAAAGGGAAGCGGTAGTGTTACTAGAATCTAGGAGCTTGGTGGAGGGACCCTGGGGAGTAGTGCCTGGAGTAAGTTTTGAGTAGCTGGGGGCCTGACCTGACAGATGATTGATAGGCCCAAGCAGCATGATCCAAAGGATAAGTGAGCATGGCAAGACTGGTACGCTGATTGCCAGCCTGTTTCTGCTGATGGCTCTAAAACTTTTCCTGGGAATGTTGAAAGAAGCTAGAGGCTGAAATTAACTCTCTGTTACTGCTAGAACAATGCTGATGAGAGCAGGAAAACAGAAAGAAAATTCTTTTCTTAATTTTCTGAAGCTTTCCTACTGGCAGAACTGGACAGGAGCTAGCAATGGAGTCTTGGAAATGAGGTTTGCAGAGTCTTAGCCCCATTGTTACAGAACGGAGCATAAAAGGATAGACTCAGAGCTGAACGACAATAGACAAATAACTGGAACAGTGAATATTATGCATATTTTATAAGGAGAACACTAAAACTAAGCAAGGTTAAATTATTTGCCAAAGATCTTTTAAGTAGACAGATCTGGAATTTAAACCCAAGTGTGTGCTGTTTCCACTATTTTTTTTATCGAATCTAAGGCACCATTGATTGTCAGAAGCACTATTATTTTATGTACCACTAAGAAAAAAAAATGCAACATTGCCAATTAAATAAGACATCAATTGTAAGATACATAGTAATTTTAGAGATTTTTGAAAGTAAAGGGGCATCTTAAAATTGATGAACTATGTATACTATGCTGCTTTGTAAATAGTTTGGTTTTGGAGTGTTGATTTAGAAACATCTATGGGATCCCCAAGTAAAGCATTCTTTTTTTTTTTTTTTTTTTTTTTGAGTTGGAGTCTCACTCTGTCGCCCAGATTAGAGTGCAGTGGCTGCTCCCAGCCACCACAGCCTCGACCTGCTGGGCTCCGGAGATCCTTCCGCCTCAGCCTTCCAAGTAGCCGGAACTACAGGCACGCGCTACCACGCCCGACTGATTTTTAGATTTATTGTAGAGATGAGGTCTCGCTGCCCAGGCGGGTCCCGAACCCGCGGGCTCAGGCAATCCACTCACCTCAGCCTCCCAAAGGCGCGGGATTACAGGCTGAGCCACCGAGCCCGGCTTCAGCTAATTTTTTTGATGGATTGTCGAGGTGAGGTCTTGCCCAAGTTGCCCAGGCTGGTCTCGAACCCTTGGGCTCAGACAATCCTCTTACCTTGGCCTCCCAAAGTGCTGGGATTATAGGTGTGAGCCACCGTGCTCGGCCAACTTTTTTTTTTCTTTCTTTTTTTGATTTAAAGTCTCACTCTGTCGCCTAGGGTGGAGTGCAGTGGCACACTCACGGCCACTGCAGCCTTGACCTGCTGGGTTCAGGTGATCCTTCTGCCTCAACCTTCCAAGTAGCTGTAACTACAGGCACGTGCCACCATGTCCAGTTAATTTTTTGATTTTTGTTGTAGAGATGAGTTCTTGCCAAGTTGCCCAGGCTTGTCTCAAACCCTTAGGCTCAGGCAGTCCTCTCACTTCAACCTAAGCGCTGAGTATTTTTTTTTTCCTTAAATTTCCACAAGCAAGGATCATTTTTCTTGTCTTCTATTTGGAAAGCATACAATCTGCCAGCATGCAGTCTTCATAAGGGTGCATTTGAAAATATTGTTATAGGCATGCTAATGAAGAGCAGGTCTCTAGAGGATATGCATGGTGTGAAGAAATCCTTTCTGTAGACGTTCATGATTTCTCTACTTTTATAGGTCCAGCATGTCTGGCTTGCACCTAGTAAAGCAAGGTCGAGACCGAAAGAAAATAGACTCTCAGCGAGATTTCACTGTGGCTTCTCCAGCAGAATTTGTTACTCGCTTTGGGGGAAATAAAGTGATTGAGAAGGTAAGCTGTAACTTGCTAAATTATTTTGTCAAAAGTACATGAAATTTAGTGCCTAGATTTGTTATCTAGATTTGTTCACAATCAATAGATTTTCATAAACTTTACCTCTTTGAATTAATTATCCTTTTAGCCTCTCTAGCATCCTGTTAATAATTCCAGTATTTTCTGTAATATGTACTTACTATTGATAATTTATTCATAGCTAATTAAAGAGATGAAATAGTGCTCATGAAGTTCTTTTTAAAAGACCTTGTGGTTTTACAGGGTGGGTCTGCACTGGAAGACAGTATGAAGAATTTGTTAGCTTGTGGGGTGCTGTTGGAGAGATAAGTATGTCACAACATTGGATTCAGAGCTGAGAGACTAGAGAGTTTCAGAAGAGAAGGATTAACATTTTTGATACATTGTAACTTACTGACTTCCACCAGGTATTTGAGATGTTCAGAGGGAGCATATCACATGAAACACTTAAAGAGAGTCCACATATTTTGAAATGTAATTCTGTCACTTTTATCTAAACTATGTCAGAGCTGAGTTGGTTGAAATAGTTTGCAGTGATTAAAACATTAAATAATGGGAACCTGTATTTCCACTCCTAAAAGTATTGTTTCAGCAGTATTATTTTATTAGTCTTCCAGTAAAGATATATTATGTCTACTAGTCTGTGTTATCTATCCTCAGAGGCATGACTACAAGATAGGTAAGGAAATGAAAGATTTGTTTATATATATAAAGTCTCAGGATTATTGAATTCTTCTACAACAGTAACTATTCTTTCTGAGGCCGTCTCTACAGTTCTAAGGGTATTGGGGTTCAGGATTTTGGAGAAAAGTGATTAATGCCAGGGTTGTAAAATATGTTTAGGGCTCTGTGCCTTGTTTTATTGCAACAGAGTATAGTACATGACACTGCTTTGTTTAGTTTCCGCCCATTCCTGATTTGATAATACATCATCACTCTAAAGTTCTGTTCCCTAGTAATAGCTACAATAGCATGGTAGAATAATTTACCAACTCAAAGAATTTGAGTAATTGTAACTTTTTTCCTTTAAAAAATGAATTTCGAATTTATCATAATACTACACGAAAGGGGTTGGCAGTAGCAGGTCACTGCTAGGTTAGGTGGGGGAGACATAATACTAACAAGGGTACCTGATCTCAAACTAGGCAAAGTGAGGACCAATGAGAGGCCCAGACTTCACCTGTACAATGACTACTTATGTACCTAACCCTGAATTGTACCCCACATCTTTAAAATAAAAAAAATTTTTAAAATAAAGTTTGAGAGGAGTATGTTTCAACTGGCATCACTAAAGTATTTGCTTAGCTTGTGTTTAAAAATATCACTTGATCATGGGGGAAACTGGTTCCTAATAGCCTGGACCAGAAAGAATTCTTGGTTGAAAATCTGACTTTTTCAGAGAAAAATCTACAAAAATGATCTCATCTCCTTTCTTCCATCATGCTTTTCTTTCTGCCTTTTCCTCCAATTGTACCCCCCCAACCCCTCACAGGTTCTTATTGCTAACAATGGCATTGCAGCAGTGAAATGCATGCGATCTATCCGTAGGTGGTCTTATGAAATGTTTCGAAATGAGCGTGCAATCCGATTCGTTGTCATGGTCACACCTGAAGACCTTAAAGCCAATGCGGGTGAGTTATTAGCCTTATGAAAGCATCACTCCCAAGCATAAAACATTGAATAGCATAGCCTTTAAATAGGCGAATGTTGCCGGGTACGGTGGCTCATGCCTATTATCCCAGGACTTTGGGAGGCCGAGGTGAGAGGATTGCCTGAGCCCATGGGTTGAAGACCAGCCTGGGCAACTTGGCGAGACCTTATCTCTACAGTAAATCAAACAATTAGCTGAGTGTAGTGGTGTGTGCCTGTAGTTCCAGCTACTTTGAGGTGGAAGGATCACCTGAGCCCAGTAGGTCAAGGCTGCAGTGGCTGTGAGCGTGCCACTGCATTCCAACCTGGGAGATAGAGTGAGACCCCAACTTTAAATAAATAAATAGGAAAATGTTAACTGAGGGATTTCCAAATGAAATCCTTTTAAAAGAATTTCTATTTTTAAAAGTATTAATAACAAGCATATTAAAGTGATTATACTATAGTTAACCTCAATACAGACTCCTGGGTTCTGAGATTAAGTGTTGATTTGGGCTTTCATGTATATTCCTTTTTTTTAGTGTTATTTGCTGTGCCCCATACTTTGACATGTGTAAGTGGAACAGCTTGGAAAGAAATGCTTCCTTAGGAGTTTTACGGAATTACGGAAAACCTTAGGGCTAAATTCTTTCTTTTCTCCTCCTTCTAAAAGAGAGAGAACTCTTAGGATCCAAGTGGGTTTACTATGCAAGATGTTTTGCATATTCCCTTTACTGATGATGCTCTGAGTTATAGATTTAAAAAAAACTATTGATATAGCTGAAAGGTATGGCTAGTCTTGCTTCTCCATACTTTTTATCAGTAAGATATAATCTGTCCAGGTAGAGTATGCACAGATGCTACCTTTTTAAAGAGCTATCCTTGTAAACTCACTTTAGTCTGTGTATGTTCTTTCTATATTGAGATGTGATATTAAGAACATTCCTTAGGAGTAAAGGCTCTTCTGTCATCTTAATTTAGCAACAGAGAAGTCAGCAGTGTATTGGAAAGCAGATGTTATTGTTTGAAATCATTTAGATGCACATTTTCACATCTCTGAGCCATAATTTTAGTCCTGTGAAAGGAAGATCATAATATGTATTTTGCTGGATAGTTGTAAAGATGAGATCATTTATAATATAAACTACCTAGCCGGACTCGGTGGCTCAGCCTGTAATCCCACGCTTTGGGAGACTAAGGTGAGTGATTGCCTGAGCCCACGGGTTTGAGACCCACCTGGGCAACTTGGTGAGACCTCATCTCTACCATAAATCAAAAAATTAGCCAGGCATGGAAGCGCGCGCCTGTAGTTCCAGCTACTTGGAAGGCTGAGGCAGAAGGATCACCGGAGCCCAGCAGGTCGAGGCTGAGGTGGCCAGGAGTGGCCACAGCACTCCAGTCTGGGCGACAGAATGAGACTACAACTAAAAAAAAAAAAAATATATATATATATATATAAACTACCTTGCATGGTTTCTTTTTCCCCACTCATTTCTACTTGGTACTCCAATTAATTCATGTATTCATTCACTAAATGAACATGGAGACTCACAGACTCACAGCTGGGTAATATATGACCTTGTTCTAGGAAATAAATAATTTTAATGCAGTGACATAAGTGCTATAATAGAAATATACATGGGGTAATATGATAATACAGAGGTGAGACGTCTAACTCTTGGTGGTGAGGTTAAGTGAAAGCTTTCTTTCTTTTTTCTTTTTTATTTTTTGAGTTGCAATCTTACTCTGTTGCCTAGGCTGGAGTATAGTGGCACGCTCACGGCTACCGCAGCCTCGACCTGCTGGGCTCAGGTGATCCTTCTGCGTCAGCCTTCCAAGTAGCTGGACCTACAGGCACGGGCTACCCCACTTGGCTAATTTTTTGATCAAAGGGGCTGGGAGTGGAGGGCAAATGTTGATTTGGAGAGTCTTTGAGGACATGGGTCCTATAGAGATAGCAAAAGGAATCTGCATTTCTAGAGTGAAATTCAGGCATGAGTAGTTCATGTAAGGAGTTACCCTGCAGAGATGGGTGTAAAAAAATGGTCAGAAATAAAGGGAAACTCATGTCAATAAAAAACCATAAAAAAACCAGAGGGAGTTTTCTTTTTCTGCTTCCTAGGGTTTTCTTTTTTTTTTTTTTGAGTTAAAGTCTCGCTCTGTTGTCCAGGCTGGAGTGCAGTGGCATGCTCACAGCCACCTCAGCATTGACCTGCTAGATCCAGGCGATCCTTCAGCCTCAGCCTTCCAAGTAGCCAGAACTACAGGTGTGCGCTACCACACCTGGCTAATTTTTTGATTTGCTGTAGAGACGAGGTCTCACCAAGTTGCCCAGACTGGTCTTGAAACCCTGGGCTCAAGGCATTCCTCTAACCTCAGCCTTCCAAAATGCTGGGATTACAGGCTTGAGCCACCATGCCTGGCCTCTTTTCTTTAATGTCCACAGTAATGACAATGGAAGATTGATTGGTACAGAATGCTGTTGGTTGGCAGCAACAAATACCTTTGTAGATGGTGTGTGTGTGTGTGATTGAAGGTTATAGGTCAACAATCAAAGAAACTTTTTTCTTTGTCTAGGGTTACTGAACTATAGAAAGATTGAACCACAGTGGAAAAGTTGGATAGACTTGACTACATAGAAATTTCTATTTGGCAAATAAAAAAAAAAAAATCAAAGACAAATGATAATCTGGAAAAACTTACTGGCAGCAAAGAAGGAAATGAACAGTAAGAAATGAACAAAGAACAGGAGTAGGAAGTACATGAAAGAGGAGATAAAAGTGTACATATGAAAAGAGTTTCAATAGCAGTGGTAATCAAGGAAATGTAAACTAAAACAATGATAGAAATTTTTAACTTATAAAACTGGTAAAATTGAGAAGATTGATAACACTTAATACGGGTGAGAGAGTAGACAATTTGGCAGCCATATTGTTTGTGAGAGTCTGAAAATGTAAATATTCTCAGACTCAATAGTTTTACTTCTAGTAACCTATCTTGAAGGTGTAACTGGATACCAGGACAAGGATATGCATTATTTCAATATTTTTAAAAGTATAAATAACTTATATTTCTATAAATAAGATATTAGTAAAATTAATAACTATTGAAATATTAGGCATCCATTAAAATATTAAATATGTCTCTGTCATAATCTGGAAAGATATCCACAATATATTGTTAAATTGCCTAATAATTTATTGTTTCGAGAATACTAAAGCATGAATTAGTTATCTCTGAGGTGGGACAATGGATGATTTTGACTTTTTATTATTTTATTTTTAATTATTATTTTTTTTTGAGTTGGAGTCTCACTCTGTCGCCCAGACTGGAGTGCAGTGGCCGTTCCCGGCCACCGCAGCCTCGACCTGCTGGGCTCCGGTGATCCTTCCGCCTCAGTCTTCCAAGTAGCTGGAACTACAGGCGTGCGCTACCACACCCGGCTAATAATTTTTTTTTTTTTTTTTGAGTTGGAGTCTCACTCTGTCACCCAGACTGGAGTGCAGTGGCCGCTCCCGGCCACCGCAGCCTAGACCTGCTAGACTCCGGCCATCCTTCTGCCTCAGCCTTCCGAGTAGCTGGAACTACAGGCGTGTGCTACCACGCCTAGCTAATTTTTGATTTTATTGTAGAGATGAGATCTCACCAAGTTGCCCAGGCAGGTCTCGAACCCGCGGGCTCAGGCATTCCACTCACCTCAGCCTCCCAAAGGCACGGGATTACAGGCTGAGCCACCGAGCCCGGCTGATTTTGACTTTTTAGAATGTGTTGTTATGTCCTGATATGTTATCTAAATATACTTTCCTCTTCTTTAATCAAAGATAAAAATAAACCTCTCTTAATTTTGAACAAACTGAAGGGCACTGTATCATATTTTTAGTGGAATTTTTTTTAAAGAGGTCTTAAAATATTTTAAAAAGTTAAGAATAAGATTAAAAATGTTAATAATTATGGAAAGAGCCAGGTGCAGTGTGCAAGCCTGTAGTGCCAGTTATTTGGGAGGCTGAGGCAGAAGGGTTGCATGAATCCGGGAATTCAAGGATAGCCTAGACAATATAGAGACCCTGTCTTTCTTAAGAAGAAGAAAAAAATTTTAAAAATAAAATAATGATGGAAATGAATTTTGAGCAAGTTACTTAACTGTTTATGCCATAATTTTATGTAAACTGGGATGCTAAAAATACCTATCATATATAGGGTTGCTGAGAGAATTAAAGGAGAGAATGTATATAGAAAGTACTTAGTACAGTCTTTGCCCATGGTAGCTTTTCTGCTGCAGTTGTTCTTTTATTTTGAGTCAGAGTCTCACTTTGTCACCCAGGCTAGAGGGCAGTGGCACGCTAGCAGCCACCACAGCCTCGACCTGCTGGACTCAGACAGTCCTTCGGCCTCAGCCTTCCAAGTAGCTGGAACTACAGGCACACACCACCACGCCTAGCTACTTTTTTGATTTATTGTAGAGTTGAAGTCTCGCCAAGTTGCCCAGACTGGTCTCGAACCCTCAGACTCAGGCAGTCCTCTCACTTTGGCCTCCCAAAGTGCTGGAATTACAGGTGTGAGCCACTGCGCCTGGCTTCTGCTGCAATTGGTAACAATAGGAAGAGACACATCAGATGACAAATTTGAAAGGGAATACTGAGCAAAAATATATATATAAGAATGGAAAATGATAATCTTTCTAAAGTTCCTTTCAAATACCTATTATCCTTTTCATAGGGTCCTACAACTAATGTTCCTGTTTAACCAGTCTGCAGATCCTCCAGGCTTTCTTCTCTTTCTCTATTCTCTCTAGCTGTATACCAGGAAAAGGGCTTTCTCTGGATACAATGCAAGTTAAAAGATGTTAGAACTAGAATTTGTTTCAGAGTAGAATTGTTGTACTTGGGCCACTAACTGATACACATCAACCTTGTTATAAAGAATCTTCAGAGAGATTACATGGTAAAATGTTTGAGAACTACAGTTTTACTATAAGAGCTTTCTAAATATAGGATTAACTTTATTAGTACCTGTGACTTAAACTCATAGCCTCCAACTAAATGGTCCTAGAGATTATTCTTTTAATTCTGTTTGTGCTGTGGTTACTTATGAAAGTCCTTGTCCTTTACATAGTTTTACTTGCAATTAAATTTCTAGGAAAAAAAAATCATGCGTTCTCTTATTAATTTGCTTGCATTTTCAGAATACATTAAAATGGCAGATCACTATGTGCCAGTGCCTGGAGGACCAAACAACAACAACTATGCAAATGTGGAATTAATTCTTGATATTGCTAAAAGGATCCCGGTACAAGTAAGAGATGCCAATATGTCCTTTAAACCCAAATTCAGCCATTTTATAATTAGGCACAAGGAGATATCCAGGGAAGGACATTTACATAAAGCATCTTTTTTGAAAATTTTTAAATGCCTTTATATGGCATAAAAAACACACAAGGAAGGGAAAGATGGAAAGAATGGAATGAGTAAAAATAAAGTAAACAGTATAAACAGAAGGTTTGGAAGAGTTTTTCAGAGATTATTTATTTTATGCACCTCACCTTTGAGCCATCCCAAGTAAGTAAAAGTGGCCTAATCCCTGTGGAATATTAACCTAGATTGTGGGGGTATGTTAGAGAAGTAGGTTGTTATACCCTGTCACATTATGTTAGTAAGTTTAGGATATGTACCTTAAAGTCCAAAGAGGGCAAACTCTAAACTTGTAGTGGTGTAACCACCATATATAAAGATGTAATTGGGTGGCCAAGGTAATTGAATATGTGAGTGACAGCCAGTATTTCTAGAACAGGCCCTATACAGCCTAGCTGAAAGGCTACGAATTGAGTTTCCTAAAGAGCAACAAAACTAACTGGATCTTCCTATCAATTTCAACTTTGTTTTGAACTCTTCAGAGGTTTTGCCACAATAGACTGATTATTGTTCTGTAAAAAGATTGCCAACGATCAAGCATAGCAGCTGAATTAAGCATTACACTGTTGTGGAAGTACTGTATTTCATGAAGTAGGGCCAGCCTTGACAGAGAGTAATGTGGTTTGGGGGGGGGGTTGTATGAATTTTAAGAAGGAATCACATTGTGTTTGTTCCCTTGCAGGCAGTGTGGGCTGGATGGGGTCATGCTTCTGAGAATCCCAAACTACCGGAACTTCTCTTGAAAAATGGCATTGCCTTCATGGGTAAGCCATTCTGGCATATATTCCACTCTATAGTCTGATTTTCTTCTGTTTAACGTGTACTGGGCTTTTTAAATTTTTTTTTTTTTTTTTATCAATAACTCTCAGAATAACCTTCTTTATTCCTTTTCCTTCTTCATTTTTAAGTCTTTCTTTATCTTCCTTCATCTTGATTGTGTTTCAGAAGTCTCTGATTTCTAAAACACTGTTTTTTTAGAACTTTGTCACTAACTTTAAGAAAGCATGTGGAGAAAGGACCTGTTTTTAGATGGTGAAGATAATTGAATACTTAGGATTGTGGTATTAAGGACCCTGGTATTGTGTCCTTAAATGTGAATTGGCACCTTTGTATTTAAACATATAGATTATATTCCTATGGATGAGAGATATTCCTTCTGACTTTTCCAGAGAGAAAAATGGAGGTTACATAGCTCAAAGTGTTCCTGTGTCTCAGAGACCTTCTGCAATAAAATTTATGCTTTATAAAATTAATAAAAATAAATCTCCTCTTGGGGCTCCCCTAAGACCAAGGAGGGTATAATATTTCAGACTTAAATCCCCCAATTTTTTTTTTTTTTTTTTTTTGAGTTAGAGTCTCGCTCTGTCGCCCAGACTGGAGTGCAGTGGCTGCTCCCGGCCACCGCAGCCTCGACCAGCTGGGCTCCGGCGATCCTTCCGCCTCAGCCTTCCAAGTAGCTGGAATTACAGGCATGCACTACCACGCCCGGCTGATTTTTTTGATTTATTGTGGAGATGAGGTCTTGCTGCCCAGGTGGGTCTCGAACCGTGGGCTCAGGCAATCCACTCACCTCAGCCTCCCAAAGGCGCGGGATTACAGGCTGAGCCACCAAGCTCATAATCAAGTTTATGATCTCCATGATATATGATGGGGGAGGGGGAGACAAGACAAATGAATATAGTATAAGACAAATAGATATGTCATAAATGAGGCCAAAATGTTACAGTCAGGGTTCTTTTCCTGTTTTGCTTTTAGGTCCTCCAAGCCAGGCCATGTGGGCTTTGGGGGATAAGATTGCATCTTCCATAGTGGCTCAAACTGCAGGTATTCCAACTCTTCCTTGGAGTGGCAGTGGTAAGAACTTATTTCTTGTTGTACCAGACACAGAGATGCTAAATTGTGATCTGGAGTGATCTTGGGACTAATTTGGAAAAACTCTGGGAAAATGCCTGTGGTTCTGTGGTTTCAAATCTACTCTAAATAGGCTAGCATCTTCCTCAGAGGTGGACCTCCTAGGTGGAATTAGGCCTTTGGACTTGCCTAGGAGGTAGCCTGGATCACTAGGAAAAACTTAAAAACCAACTGCCAGTGTTGTTTTTTGCTATCAGTCTACAATGTATTGATAATTTGTTTTGTCTGTTTAATACCAAAGTATCTTGCCCTTGATGCAGAAAATGAGGTCAATAATCAGCCTTTCTTCCAGGCACACAGAGGGATAAAATTTTTCTAAATGATTTATTCTTGACAGATTTGTTAGAGTCCATGTGAATTATTATAACTGATAACAATATGAACTTCCCTTTTTTTAATATTTAAGTACTGGAAGCAGACATACACTAAACCCTCTTTCAAATGGGAATGACTATTGTCTTGAGATTGAACAGATTTGAACCCTTGTTATTCTGGGTCTCCAGGGAGATTACAATTACAATCTCCAGATCTGCTGGGTCAAATAGTTTAAAATAAAAAGTTGAATTTGTTCTTGTTTGAATGGAGAGGTTATAGTGTTCCCCTTGTGACTGAGTATAGGGACATTTAGGGAGCACAGAATCATGGCTCTACTGAGGCCAATAAAACCGCCATTTTCATTTCCAAGGGCTCATAAAGATTGAATTATTTACCAGACCTCTGACACTAGAGCAGGCCTGCACACACAAATTGAAGGTATTTTACCTGCTGAGTTGCTGTGAGATGTATGCCATGCCTTTTTGGGGGGCGGGAGGGGTCTTGTGTGTTTTTGCATTTTTTAAAGTTGCTCCCTATTAGGTCTCCAGGCTTTTTCCAGCATAAGAAGCAAAGTTGCTAGGCCATGCTGTTGCTAAATGATGTTAACCCTAAGGATTGATCAAGGTTTTATGGAATCTTTCCTTTTCCCATTTACTCTCAATTCTGGATAAATATGATAGCATTTTAAAGAAGGTATAGCAGAAAGTTGATAAGAACAGAAACTTTTGTAGCTGCTGTAAGTCACTGTTGTTTATTGCAGGTCTTCGTGTGGACTGGCAGGAAAATGATTTTTCAAAACGTATCTTAAATGTTCCCCAGGAACTGTATGAAAAAGGCTATGTGAAAGATGTGGATGATGGGCTAAAGGTAGGTTACTACCTACAGAGAGTGATGCCTTTCAGTTAACCAATGTGGAGATTTGGAACCTAGTTCACAATATATACATTTAAAAGTATAGAATACTCTGATTTCTGGGCCAGGCATGGGGGCTCATACTTGTAATCCCAGCACTTTGGAAGGCTGAATTGAGAAGAGACCAGGAGTTTGAGGCTCAAGTGAGTTATGATCATGCCACTACACTCCACTACACTCCACTCTGAACAACAGAGTAATACCTTGTTGCTTAAAAAAAAAAAAAAAAAAAAAAAAAGCCAGGCTCCGTGGTTCAGCCTGTAATCCTAGCACTTTGGGAGTGAGGAGAAGTGAGTGGATTGCCTAAGCCTAAGCCCGCAGTTTCAAAACCAGCCCAGGCAACTTGGCAAGACCTCATCTCTACAATAAATAAAAAAAATTAGCCAGGTGCTGTAGCGTGCACCTGTAGTTCTGGCTACTTGGAAGGAAGGCTGAGGCAGAAGGATTGCTGGAGCCCCGCAGGTAGATACTGGGATGACCGTGAGCGTACCACTACACTCCAGCCTGGGCAACAGAATGAGGCTCCAACTAAAAAAAAAAAAAAAAAAATTACTCTGATTTCTCATCAGATTTTATAAATCTTTCCCCTTTTAAAAAGTATAGAATGAGGAAGTGACATTAAATATAAACATTTTATGTTCATTTTGAAGCAGGCTGTTCACCTGGGCAGAACATTTCTTAGGTGATTAAATCAGAGTTTTAAAGAGGTATTGATTATCCCTCTCTCCACTACCAGTTAGTGTAAGTTAGTGTGTGTGTGTGTGTGTGTGTGTTGGGGGGAGGTCAACAAACGATACACTTTTTCCACTGTGTGAGTTCGGAACCAAGAAGCCATACAGGCAGGAAGAGATGAAAATGTCAGCTTTATTATGAAGTGAGAAGTTGGTGAAAATGACTTCAGTGTGTAGCATCAAACAGATTTGTAAACTGAACATCAGAGTTTAACAAGCTCACACACCCTCTGTTTATTGGCAGTGCTTAATAACCACAGACATCCCTGCATAGAGAAAGAGCTTTTACTAGTCAGCATATCATATGGCTGAGAGCTGACAAAGAGCATATGTTCTGTGCAGTGAGCTGATCCCAAGGAGGAAGAGGCTGAGTCATGAATGCTGGGTTCCTCCTTTGAAACTGACCAATCACATAATTTATTCCTCCCTGGGGAGTAGCAAAGGAGTGAACCCAGAGAGGCAGAAAGTGTTGATCTAATTATTGTCCATTCACTTGGAAGCATGAACCTCAGCAAAAGAAGACCCTTTCCCTAACATTACCTTTTCTTCCTTTTCGTTTGCCAAATTTGTTCCCTTTTCACTTTTTTACTAGTTGAAAGTGTCATTTATGCCTCCAGGTAGATGATGAAAGAGGCTATTTTAGAAAAATACACTGCTTGAGTTTGACTTGTGTGGTATAAATTCAAGAGGAATACTGAATGTTCAAATAATTTTGCTATATTGTTTGCATTTCAAGTTAATTTATTCTTATTAATTTCAAGTTAAATTAATTTCCCTAATAAGAAGAATTAACATTCCTAATTGAATTTCAAAGGCTTTATTCTGCAAATTATAGCAAAAGAGTAGAAACCTTTTGTAAGGAACTAGGTATCTTGCTTACCAACTAAAGGAAAGTCCATTTTTTCTGGTTGTAGTTATGAACATAGAATTTTCTGGTAGAAAATGTGGAAAGCCAGAGATGATGATAAAGCCACCTATAAGCAAACCATCCAGACAGAGCTAATGCATGTTAACTTTTTAAAGTATTTTCCCTCAACCTTTTTTGATTCATAGATGTATATAATATCAACAACAATTTTTGTTAATAGATTTCTGTAATTATGATAATTATAAAATTCAGATTTTACTAATATATTGTTTGGTGGTCCTGCTACTGTTTTCTGCTTAATATTATATATATAAGCATATTCCCCTTGGCATTAACAATTTTATAAAATTTTAATTTTTTTCCTAGAGGTGTTACTCCAGGGCAACCCTCTTTTGGGTCCTGCTGCAGGAGCTTTTGTGTCTTCTTTTCTTATTTATTTTATTTATTTATTTTTTGAGTTGGAGTCTTACTCTGTCACCCAGACTAGATTGCAGTGGCCGCTCCCGGCCACTGCAGCCTTGACCTGCTGGGCTCCGACGATCCTTCCGCCTCAGCTTTCTAAGTAGCTGGAACTACAGGCAAGCGCTACCACTCCCAGCAAATTTTTTTGATTTATTGTAGAGATGAGGTCTCGCCAAGTTGCCCAGGCGGGTGTCGAACCTGCAGGCTCAGGCAATCCACTCACCTCAGCCTCCCAAAGTGTGGGATTACAGGCTGAGCCACCAAGCCCCACTTGTGTCTTCTTAATAAATGCCTACTTAAAAACTAAAATAAGATAATTAAATAAATAAAGGTGTTGCTCCAGAAATTTTTTTTTTTTTTTTTGAGTTGGAGTTTCAGTCTGTCGCCCAGGCTGGAGTGCAGTGGCAAACTCACCGCCAAATGGGATTACAGCTAGCCATGAGCCACCATGCCCAGCCTTTGTAATTGGGCTCTATACTGAGATCATCAGTTTGTATTAAGGGAACTACTATGTCTTTTAAAGAAATATTGCAAGTAATACATGGATACCTGTGTACTGTACAGAAATTTCAATAATACAGAAATATTCACAGTAAAAAGTGTAGGCTTATACCTATCCATCTTTCCTAAATCACCACTGATGTGTATTCTAGACATCATTTCTTTTATTTGCATTTGTGGGTGTGTGAATGTGTATATGGTTTTATTTTGTGTTTGATTTATATGGGATTGTTTTCAATCAAACCATATGAAATTGACAATATTCAACTTTTTTTTTGAGTCAGTGTCTCATTTTGTCACCCAGGCTGGATTTCCTGGGCTCAGGTGATACTTCCACTTCAGCGTCCCAAGTAGCTGGGACTACAGGTGTGCACCACCAAGCCCAGCTAATTTTTTTTTTTTTAATTTTCATTGAGACAAGTTTTTGCTACGTTGCCAAGACTGGTCTTAAACTCCTGAGCTCAAGCAATTTGCCCACTTCAGTTTCCCAAAGTACTGTATAGGCATGAGCCACCATGCCTGGCCTTAATCTTTACGATTTTTATAATTTTTAATTTGCTTTTTTTTAACCTTTTTTTAAATCTACAAAAAGGACATTTTATTTTGGTTTGCCTTTACAAATATTGTTCTGTTACTTATTTTTTTCACCTAATAGTATATCTTGAAGATTTTCCTATTTTACTACATGTAAACCTATTAAATGACTGCAATGAATTCTGTTTTAATTCTTAAAGAGTATATTAATAACATTCTTCCATTTTTTTTCTTTCTTCTTGAAGGCAGCTGAGGAAGTTGGATATCCAGTAATGATTAAGGCCTCAGAAGGAGGAGGAGGGAAGGGAATTAGGAAAGTCAACAATGCAGATGACTTTCCTAACCTCTTCAGACAGGTAGAGTACAAGCTGTTTTTGTTTGTTTGAGCTAACATGTATATCAGAAACACAAGATTTAACAGTTAAATTTTAACTCATACATATAATTTGAATGTCCAGAAAATATTTAATTTTGTCTATGATCTGTTCTTCCTCTCTAGCCTCCATCTGCTTTTTATAGCAGAGAAAAAAGTTAATGAAATGTCCAATTTAAGTTTTATTTATTTAGGTAATTCAAACAGTAGAGTTATTCTCTCTTATATAAACATGCTCAATTTCTCAGATAGCTCTTTCCTATATGGTACATGTGGTTTATAGGATCTCATAATGGAAAGGAAAAATCAATGCCTTTCTACATTTTGTGCCCCTCTGCTGAAATTGTAGATAAATATTTGGTATAGTAGTATGATTCTGATCTGGTTACTCTTGGTTTAGCCAGGCCCAGGCTATCTGATTGACTTTTTCTTACTTTGTTTCAAATTGGCTGCAGGCCCCTGAGTTGCCACCATGTGTCCTATATACCCTGCTGCTACAGCAGAATACTCCCTAGCCTGGGCTGCATGGCCACCACACCCTGACACAGGAATCCTGTGACTCAGGAAGCTCAACCTAGGGTCTCTGTCTGCCTTTCCCTCTGCTTTACAGCCAAGCTGATGTGGCCATACTGTACATTGACTGTAGAGATAGCTAAAAAATGATGCCTTTTCAGAATCTTAAACAGAGATAAAAGAGGGAGAAAGGGCTCTCTTGGTCTTCCCTAAGAGTTACCTTTAAATACTTGACTCACTTTTTCCCCCCTACCAATACCTAGTAAAAGATGTGTCAGAAAAAGGAAAATTAAAACACAGATCTGGGCTTTTCACTCTCCTTCTTTCCCCCTTTTTTGTAGTTTTCTCAGCATCTTCTACTTTGCAGCATCTTTTACTAGTGTCCCATGCCACCTTTTTTTGGAGTTAGAGTCACTCTCTGTCACTCAGACTGGAGTACAGTGGCACGCTCATGGCCACTGCAGTTTTGATCTATAGGACTCAGGTGATTCCTCCACCTCAGCCTTCCAAGTAGCTGGAACTACAGGTGCGCGCCACCATGCCTGGCTAATTTTTTTTAATTTTTTTGTGGAGGCGAGGCCTCTCCGAGTTGCCCAGGCTAATCTTGAACCCCTGGGCTCAGGCAATCTCTTGCCTTCACCTTCCAAAGTGCTGGGATTACAAGCATGAGCCACTGCGCCCAGCCCCATGCCACCTTTTATTTGCCTTTTTAAAATCTTTAACTATTCAGCAGCAGACTTCTTGCTTCACTTTCAGAGTCTAAAGGGAAAAACTCTATGAGCTAAGTCTTCCATAATTTGATATACAGATAGTCCCTGACTTACAGTGGCTTGACGTAAAATTTTTCAACTTTACAATGGTGTGGAAGCAATAATGTATTCATTAGAAACCATATTTCAAGTACCCATAGAGCTTCAAGTGTTTTTCACTTTTAGTACAATATTCAATAAAATACATGAGATATTCAATACTTATAATTTTATGTAACTGTAGACTAATGTAAGTGTTCTAAGCATGTTTAAGGTAGACTAGGCTAAGCTATGATGTTTCAGTAGGTTAGATTTATTAAATGCATTTTTAACTTATGATATTTTTTAACTTATGATGAATTTATTGAGCCATAACTCCATTGTAAGTCAAGGAGCATCTGTACTAGATTTTAAAAAACAATAAAGGTATTGTCTTGCTGCATTACACTATGTTGAATGTCAGAAGTTGAATATTACCTTAGGATTCCCCCCCCCCATTTTTTCTGTAAACTCTAGATTAATGCCTCATGGAGTCTAGAGAAAAGTCCTTTTCTCTTGGTAGTCAAGGAAATAAAAAACATGTTAACTAACATTAACTCCTGTTCTAAACTACTTATTGCTATGAAATCAAGCTGAAAGGATCTAGTATACTAAGCGTAAGTTTTATATGAAAGCCCTTAAGTTCTAATACTGATTAAATAAGGCAAACCAGTCTTCCTATTGGAAAAAATAGTATAAAACTAGACCAGATTTTTTTTTTTAAATCTGTTTTAAGGCATTAGAGACTTTCAAGATAGTGAAGAATTATGAGGCTAACATATTAGGAGAAAAAGGAAACTCAGAGAGGTGAGCCTGGCATTTAAGGCCACTTTTTCCCTGGAGACATCTTCTAGTTCAAGAAGCAGCTGAAAAGCTGATTTGTTTTCATCAGTCTTAAAAGACATAAGAGGACAACATTTAGACTTCAGGGCTTATTGAGGGAGGGGTGCCCTGGAAATCTCTCACATTTTAGGTTGGGATCCTGAAGGACTATACCACAAGAGAAAGGGTGAATTGGAAATAGACCTGTCCTCAACAGGAACCAAATCTCAGCTTGAAAACACTTAACCTCTGAATTAAGCAAGATGTTGTTAGGATTGCCCCCAGCCACCTGCATGAAGCAAATGTAAATCTTTTCTGGAGAAATATAATATCCAGAGCTTCAATTATTTCTATTAATTTTTCATGTGACATATCAAGCACCCAACAGAAAATAAGCAGGCATATAATATTAGATGATTGATAACCAAGGAAAACGAAAGTCAATAGAAACAGACCCACAGAAGATTTTTTTTTTTTGAGTTGGGGTCTCACTCTGGTGCCCAGACTGGAGTGCAGTAGCCGCTCCTGGCCACCACAGCCTTGACCTGATGGGCTCCGGCGATCCTTCCGCCTCAGCCTTCCAAGTAGCCGGAACTACAGGTGCGCGCTACCACACCCGGCTGATTTTTTGATTTATTGTAGAGATGAGGTCTCGCTGCCCAGGCGGTTCTCAAACCCGTGGGCTCAGGCAATCCACTCACCTCAGCCTCCCAAAGGTGTGGGATTACAGACTGAGCCACCGAGCCTGGCTCCCACAGAAGATTTAGACAATGAAACTGTCAGACAAGGACTTTATGCTTAATATATTAAAGGAAATTAAAGAAGTTTGAGAATATTTTGGTAGAGAACTGGAAGTCATAAAGAAGAAACAAAAGTTCTAGAACTGAAAATGCTATAGCTAAAATTAAAAAGTCAATATAGGAGCTTAATAGCATATTAGATGCAGTTGAATAGAGAATGAGTAACTGGAAGATAGACCAGAAGAAAATTCATACTGAAGCATGAAGAGACACAAAGGATGAAAAATACTAAAACTACCAATGTGAGAGATTATTTGCAAAGATGACCGTGATAACTCCTTTCATCTCTATGTAACTACCCTGTACATTATGATTTTACAGCTCCTCCCATCAAGAAACAGAGTCCTTTTGTCTACTTCATGAATTTCAGCTTGCCTTGTGACTTGTTTTGGCCAATAGACTGTGGCATTAATTGTGTACAAGTTCAGAAGCCTAAAATTCAAGTGGTCTTGTAGTTTCTGTGCTTGCCTTCTTGAAGTGAGCCTTCAGACTGCCATGTGAAGAACCCGTTATAGCCTACTGGAAAAAGAGAGGTTACATGAAGCAGAGATGAGTTGTTGCAGCTAAAACCTCCTATTCCTACTAGCTGATAGTTAGCACTACATTTGAGATATATAAGTAAGACTATATTTGACCATCCAACACCAGTCAAGCTGCCAGATGACTACAGCTGCATGAACAACTCCAGGCAAGATCAGCAAAAGAATTGTACAACTACACCCAGTTCAAAATCATGAGCAAATAAAATAAAATGCTTGCTCTCCCAAGTCACTAAATTTTGGTGGTTTGTTAATATCAATGGATAACTGACACAGAAATTAATACCTAAAGGTATGATAGTGTCATTAAAAAAACATGGTATTGGCTTTGAAACTGGATCATAGGTATAGGCTGGAATAATAGTGAGGAGTATGTTAATGAACCCTGGAGGAATGGTGAACAAACTGTTAGTGGAGACTGGAAAAGCAGTGAAGTAACTGTTGTTAGAGTCTGAAAAAAAGACATGTTCTGTAGTGATGGACACAATTGGCAAAAAAGTGGTGAATGAGGTAACCTAGAAGATTGAGAATATAATTAATATCATTGATCTGGTTAAGGAGCTTTTTAGTACTTACAAATTGCTGAAAGTATCTGTTAAGTGCTTTTTTTTTGAGTTGGAGTCTCACTCAGTCACCCAGGCTGGGGTGCAGTTGGCACACTCATGGCCACCCCAGCAAGACCTGCTGGACTCTGGCAATCCTTCAGCCTCAGCCTTCCAAGTAGTCAGAACTATAGGCGCATGCTACCATGCCTGGCTAATTGTTGGTTTATGGTAGAAACAAAGTCTTTCTTGGCAGTTACCTGGGCTGGTGTTGAACCTGTGGGCTCAGGCAATCCACTTGCTTCGGCCTCCCAAAGTGCTGAGATTACAGGTTGAACCTCTGAGTCTAGCTTGTTAAGTGCTTAAGAAACCACACAAGAAAGTTGAACTAAAGAAGATGTTTTGCTTGCAAGCAGAATTTAGAGGAAATGTACTATTATGGAACCCAGAACTTGTTGGGTTTGAAAATAGAGCTTTTAGCCAGGCTCAGTGGCTCAACCTGTAATCCCAGCACTTTGGGAGGCTGAGGTGAGTGGATTGCCTGAGCCCGGGGGTTCGAGACCCGCCTGGGCAACTTGGTGAGACCTTATCTCTACAATAAAATAAAAAATTAGCTGGGTGTGGTAGCGCACGCCTGTAGTTCCAGCTACTTGGAAGGCTGAGGCGGAAGGATCACCGGAGCCCAGCAAGTCGAGGCTACGGTGGCCAGGAACGTACCACTGCACTCCAGTCTGGGTGACAGAGTGAGACTCCAACTCAAAAAAAAAAAAGAAAAGAAAAAGAGCGTTTTCATATTTCCAGTCTCTCTAGCTGGCAAAGTAAAAATAAGCCTCAGATTTGCAAAGTAAAAATAAGTCTCAGAGTAAAGAATAGGTCAGGAGTCAAGAGTACCTGTGACTTTACAACCTCAGAAATATTTAAGGCAGTACCTGGTTGATTACCCTTTCAATTCGAAATGTGAAGGCATTGTCTCTCAAGCAGTCTGACATGTCCAGAGTATAGAGAGGTCTGTGCAGAAGTGAGTTAATGAATGTGACTTTTAGAATAAGCAGTGAGCTGCAATATAATTAATAGGAAACCCACAAGTCTGCCAAGAGACTTGTGTTGATGAATGCATCAAAGGGACAGAAATAGTTCAAAATGAAAAGAGACCTCTGAGCCTTCAACTTTCTGTGGGCAAGAAGCAGACTTAGAAAGCTATTCAGCTGCAAGAACAGACTCAGAAAGCTATTCGGCTGTAAACATCAGTCATTTCTAATAAAAAGAGAGATTTCTCAGAGGATAGAGTCAGAAGCACATAGGACAAAGCTAAGAGCAGACAGATACGGTGAGTTAGGGATCCACACCCAGTGAACAGAACTAGACCCTATTAAAAAAAAAATTAAAAACACAAAACAACATTTTGTGTCCCTGGTGTAAGGGAACCTATTAACATATATCCACCTGGATTTCAGAATTACTATGGACCAGTGACTGCTATGTACCTCCCATCCTGTCCTCTTTGAGCAGGAATCTCTTTTGCAGTTATCCTCTCCCAATCTCATCATCAAATGTTGGGAGTGTTGGGACAGATAACTTGTCTTTTCAGTTCCCAGGTCTTTGGATCAAGAGAAACTGTACCTGAGGAGCTGTATCCAAGGAACCTAGTTTTCTTCTGGACATGACTCAAGAGAAAATGGACGTCAAGCCTGATGACATGACTGGATGAGACTTTGGGGGTCTTGGGAGGGGGTGAGTCTATTTTGCATATGGGAGGTATGTGAATTATTGTGGCCAGAGGGTAGACCATAGTAGGCTGTTTGCAGAGGTGGCCGCAATAACTCCTCCCATTCCTGTATGTACACCCTATGCAATGTGACTTTGCTGTTCCTCTCATCTAGAGATGGCATCTATTTCCCCACTCCTTGAATCTGGCCTTGTGGCTTGGTTAGACAGTTAGAATGTGGCCAAAGTGATGTGTAAGTTCTAGAGTTTAGACCTCAAGAGGCCTTACAGCTTCTGCCCTCACCTTCTTGGAACACTGCACTGAAGAAGCCTGGTCTAGCCTACTGGAGGATGAGAGACCACATGCAATAGAGATGAGCTATTCCAGTTGAGGCTCTCTAGACCTACCAACCAACAAGCAGCACAAATCACCAAACATGTGAATGAGACTGTTAGCTCCATTCAAGCCACCAATTGATGATATACACAAAAGTGCAAGACCAGAAGAAGAATCTCCCAGCTGAGCACAGCATCATGAGCAAATAAAAGGTGGATGTTCTAAGCAAGTCACTGAGTTTGAGATGACTTGTTACGTAGCAAAACAGAGCAAAAACAAAGCAAAACAGATCAAAGCATAAAAGACATGGGGTACCATGAAATGATCTGACACCGTATGTTTAAAGTCTCAGAGGAGAAGAGAAAGAGTATGGAGCAGAAGCAATATTTGAAGAAATGATGGAGCAGAAGCCATATTTGAAGGGATAATGGCTAAGAATTTCTCCTGAACTGTTAAAAGCTACCAAGCACAAATTCAAAAAGTATTATGAGCCTTAAGCAGGGCAAATGTAAAGAAAACCACACCTAAGTTTATCAGAGTAAATCTGCCACTTCACCCCGCCCCCCCAAAAAAAGAGAGAGAAATTTAAGTATAAAGCAGCTGGAGGAAAAACGGTTACTTTAAAAGAAGTAACATTAAGATTGATGGTTGACATCTCAGTAGAAAGAGTGAAAACTAAAAAACATTGGGTATTGTTAAAGTGCTGGAAAAAAAAATTACTAGTGTAGGATTTTGTTCCCAATGACAATACTCTTCAAAACTGAATGGGAAAGTTCTTTGCAACAATGCCATATATAATGTAATGTGAACCAAGAAAGTATTTTCTCTAGAGCAAGTTGTACATTTGGTTGTACAGAGTGGATGGCAGTATTTTACCCTGATGAAAGGTATATGTGTGTGTGTGTGTTTAAATATTTTGTTTACCCTTGTAATACACTGGATGTTTGTATGTTTTCATATTCATTAATTAATATTGGTTATATAACTAAGAATGCAACATCTTAAAGACAGTAAAGATGAGAGCTTGGGCTATATTTCATTCATTTTTGTATTCCTACTGATTAACATGGTCTCTGACACCTCTGGACATCTGCTTGTTGAAATCAAAGCAGCTTATCAGGATAGCAAAAATGTTTACCATTTAAGAGTTTGTTTTAGCCGGGCTCGGTGGCTCAGCCTGTAATCCCGCGCCTTTGGGAGGCTGAGGTGAGTGGATTGCCTGAGCCCGCGGGTTCGAGACCCGCCTGGGCAGTGAGACCTCATCTCTACAATAAATCAAAAAACCAGCCGGGCGTGGTAGCGCATGCCTGTAATTCCAGCTACTTGGAAGGCTGAGGCGGAAGGATCGCCGGAGCCCAGCAGGCGAGGTTGTGGTGGCCGGGAGCGGCCACTGCACTCCAGTCTGGGCGACAGAGTGAGACTCCAACTCAAAAAAAAAAAAAAAAAAAAAAAAAAAAAAGAGTTTGTTTTATTTCCTTTTCTACTACAGGTTCAAGCTGAAGTCCCTGGATCTCCTATATTTGTGATGAGACTAGCCAAACAATCTCGTCATCTGGAAGTACAGATCTTAGCAGATCAGTATGGCAATGCTATCTCTTTGTTTGGTCGTGATTGCTCCGTACAGCGCAGACATCAGAAAATTATTGAAGAGGCACCTGCTGCTATTGCTACTCCTGCAGTATTTGAGCATATGGAACAGGTACATATTTTCTGTTTTGTCACACAGAACGCTTTTGTTTAGTTCATATATCAATCTGAGAATAATGGAATTTTAAGCAATGATTTTGGAAAATTGATAATATTATATATTTTTCTTAGAGAAAGAGAATTCTGCTGTGTTCCCTCCAGGAGAATTGTTAAGGAACATGTCAAGCTCTAAAAGTAGCTAACACTTTTTAAACAATCAGTGTACTCTTTTAAGTGGGGATAAAGAAATGTTTTGAGATTTTTTTTTTTTTTTTTTGAGCTGGAAACTCACTCTGTCACCCAAGCCCTCCAGCAGCTTTGCTTTACTTCATCCTTTTAGGAATTCTCCTAAATTTTAGCTGAGCATATTGTCACCCATATAGTGACCACAATTACTAACACCTCTTATACTAGGTATGATTGCATAGCTTAATTTTATCTAATAAAATGTGAGCAGAAGTGCCATGTGTGACTTCTAGATCAAGTTTCTTTCTTTCTTTTTTTTTTTTTTAGTTGGAGTCTTACTCTGTTGCCCAGGCTGAAGTGCAGTGGCATGCTCACGGCCACCACAGCCTCAGCCTGCTGGACTCAGGCAATCCTTCCCCTCAGCCTTCCAAGTAGCTGGAACTATAGGTGTGTGCCACCACACCTGGCTAATTTTTGATTTACTGTAGAGATGAGGTCTCACCATGTTGCCCAGACTGGTCTCGAACCTGTGGCTCAGGCAGTCCTCTCACCTAGGCCTCCCAAAGTGCTGGGATTACAGGCATGAGCCACTGCGCCTGGCCACTGTTTTGAGATTTTTAATCTTATTGTTTTCTTTTTTGACAAGTTCATGATAAGCAAGTAGTTTCATTTTCTGGTTTGATTATCGTCAAATCTTCAGATGAATTTATTCAAATCCATTATTTTTTTGGAAAGTCCTTCAAGTATCTTTAAAGTTCACATAGTCTATATTTTTGTATAGAAAATAATTTCTCAGTGTTATGAACGGTAACTTGGAAATAGTTGGAATTTAGTGGTCTGTACATAATCTTTTCTGAAATGATGACTCAATTGTTACCTTATTAGAGATATAATTTTCGAATTCCAAACTTCTGAATTCTAAACAAGCTAAAAATATGTATTAGAAGTTTATTTCCTATGGTGTGTGTAGGATATACCCTTGAACTAGTGTAATAATAATGCCTCTAAAATACAGTGGTTTAAACAAAATGTAAACTTCTATTTCTCTTTCATCATAGTTCAGAAGTGAGCTGGTGCCAGAAATTCAGGTTTATTGTTCACCTGTCACCTATTTTTATAAATAAACTTTTATTGGAGCCGGGCTCAGTGGCTCAGCCTGTAATCCCGCGCCTTTGGGAGGCTGAGGTGAGTGGATTGCCTGAGCCCACGGGTTTGAGACCCACCTGGGCAACTTGGCGAACCTTCATCTCTACAATAAATCAAAAAATTAGCCGGGTGTGGTAGCGCGCTCCTGTAGTTCCAGCTACTCAGAAGGCTGAGGCAGAAGGATCGCCGGAGCCCAGCAGCTCAAGGCTGCAGTGGCCGGGAGCAGCCACTGCACTACAGTCTGGGTGATAGATTGAGACTCCAACTCAAAAAAAAAAAAAAAAAGAGCTTTTATTGGAGCACAGCTGTATTTATTTATGTATTATTTATGATGGCTTTATTGCTACAGTGGCAGAGCTGGATAGTTGTAACAGAGGCTATATGGCCCACAAAGTGGAAAATAATTACTATCTGCCTCTTTACCAAAAAAGTTTGCCAACCTTCGCCCTTTGGCAGTGTCATTATCTTCATGATTAAGCTAATTCTCAAGATTGTGTTTACATTGTAGCTTGTGAAAGATGGGAAGAGATGACATAGAGGGCAAGCATATAGACACTTGATCTACTGGCTGGGCACAGTTGCTCAAGTCTGTAATCCCAGCACTTTGGAAGGCCAAGGTGAGGGGATTACCTGAACCCAGGGGTTCGAGACCAGTTTGGGCAACTTGGTGAAACCTCGTCTCTACAATAAATCAAAAATTAGCCCGGTGTGGAAGCTCACACTTGTAGCTATAGCTACTTGGAAGGCTGAGGTGGAACAATCACCTGAGCCCAGCAGTTTGAGGCTGCAGTGGCCATGAGCATGCCACTGCACTCCAGCCCGGACATCAGAGTAAGACTCCAACTAAAAAAAGAAAGAAAGAAACTTGATGCAGAAGTCACACATGGCACTTCTGCTCACGTTTCATTAGATAAAATTCAGCTATGCAATCATACCTAGCACAAGAGGTGTTAGTAATTGTGATCACTATATGGGTGACCAAATTTAGGAGAATTCCTAAAAGAATGAAGTAGAGAAAAGTTGCTGGAAGGCGTTTAATTATTTGTGCCTCAATCTGCTCGGATTATTAATGACTACCCATTATTCTTTTACGTCCTTTCTCCTACTCTTAGAACATACTTAGCTTTTCAGACAGACTGAAGTCCCATCTAGTTACTACAGTGACTTTAGAGATCTTAGATGTGTAGATGATTCAAGATCTCTAGGTGATGTATATCCCTCTCTCTTAGATGTGTATGTGACTTTTCATGGGCAGTTCACCTAAAATATAAGTTATCTACCCTTTGTCATTCCTTCCCCCAACCCCCTTACACTAAGTATACAGTGGTAGAAGAGAAACAGGATAACTCCCATTTGGAAAAAGGAAAAATGAAAGAGAAACAGTAATAATTGGTCCATAGCAGTTATCAAATCCTTCTAAAATCCTTCTAGGCAGGATGATTTCCTGCTATATAATGAAGTAAAAATCTTGGTTAGACCTTCTGACTGCACTTGGTCCTGCTACTTGGTAATAAATCCCTTGTCCATTTTCCTTCAAGACACCTGACTTTGTTCTCTGGGAAGTTCTTTTTTTTTTTTTTTGAGTTGGATCTCTTTCTTGTTGCCCAGGCTGGAGTGCAGCAGCATACTCATGGCTACCGCAGCCTCGACCTGCTGGGCTCAGGTGATCCTTCCACCTCAGCCTTCCAAGTAGCTGCAATGACAGACGCATGCCACCGCATCCGGCTAATTTTTGTGATTTATTGTAAAGACGAGGTCTCACTAAGTTGCTAAGGCTGGTCTCCAACCCCAGGCTCAGGCAATCCTCTCGCCTTGGCCTCCCAAAGTGCTGGGATTACAGGCTGAGCCACTATGCCTGACCTTTTTTTTTTTTTTTTTTTTGAGTTGGAGTCTCATTCTGTCACCCAGGCTGGAGTGCAGTGGCACACTCACAGCCACTGCAACCTTGCCCCTGCTGGGCTCAGGTGATCTTTCCACCTTAGCCTTTCAAGTAGCTGGAACT